GGGGGGGCGTTTAAATGGTGCGACTACAAGCACCACATTTTGTACTGAACTTTAAGTTTTTATAATAAAGGTAATGTTTTTTAATGTACAAGCACCACATCTTAATTATAATTTGGACATAAAGCAAATAATGGTGACAATCATAACAACAACGTACTTAAGGGGGCAAAAATGAAAATATTTTAAGCAAGATAATAAGTAAATTTAACAAGCTGCATAATTTGTTGATTAATTAACTGCTAACTAGAGAATTTTGCAAAGTGTATCAGAAAACTCAAATTATCACTAAAAATAAGCTATTTTGTTCAGAGGAAGTGAAAGAACGTTGAGGCATGCACTTTAGGTTAGGTTTCCTGTTTTTTATGCTAAAATTGACATATGATAGGACATAAAAGTATATATATGGAATATAAAAATAGGAGTTTTAGGTTAATTTTCCTAACATTTAATATCTGCCGAGAAGATAGCTCAGAGAAGTTTAGAAGAGAAGAGAAGAATGATTTTATTTCCTGAATGCCTATCACGGTATGATTTACAATGTACTTATAAAATGAATCAACGAACCTTCTTCTTCTATGTAACTATCTGACTGTTTCCAGCTAACAATTCTAATAACTAATTGCGTACTAACAACTGACTCTCCTAACTAACTCTGCCACATAAGCTGCCAGCTCAACTCTTCTTCTATATCTTGCAACAAATGCAATCTTTACCATTAGATTATGATATGTACTCCCTAGCTTTTGTAACAACCCTTAATAAAATACTAACTCCTAGAACACAAATAAGTATTTTGACTAAATTAAAATTTAAATATTATTAAGTTGACACATTAGGATATATAAATAAGGACAAATTTAAAAAACTAATATTAATTCATTCTTGATTATGTAAAAAGACCACTTATTTTGAATCAAAGTGAAAATGACATTTATTTTGAACCAAAATAAAAAGGCTAAAAGGTCACTTATAATGGATAGTAGGATACTATTTTAGCATATATCTTCAATAGGTTCTGGTCTAGTGGTTGATAAATATATTTTTTGTCTAGTGGTTGAACATTATATATATTTTTTGTCAGTTGACGATAAAAAAAATATTTCTTCCAAGAAAATTGAATTAGTTTGTGAAAAATACGTATCTCAATTCAAACTCAAATAGTTCTTATTCTTCTATATTTTTAAATTGATGTTCTTTTAATTCTTTATGTTTTGTTCCTTGCATTTTATCATTGTATTATTCATTACTTACTGTTTTTTTTAATTAATATATAGATACGTTATAATTTTCTTCCCGCCCACACCTCAAAGTTTTAGTATAAATAGTAGTTAAGTCAAAGAAAAGACACATTTTAGTATTCTCTCTGTTCTCTCTCTCTCAATTACAAGCCCAGTTCTCTCCAAGAAACTCAAAAATGGCGGATGAAAAAAGTGACGCACCTGATGCTGTACACACCAATAACACTCTAGGGAATCTCACTGCTAATGAGTATGTAACTTTCGTTACATGTTGTTCATTATGAAACAAATTTTATTTCAATTTTCTTTAACTTTTTTAATTTATGAGTAAAAAGAAAGATAGTTTATGGTTCCACAGGATTGTCGCTGAGAAAGAAGCTGATGCCGGAAAATCTGTAGTCAAAGAGAAGAGCACTCAAGATCATAACGATGAGTTTGTAACTTTCTTTTGAAAAAAAAATATCAAGAAACAAATTTTATTTCAAATTTCTTTCAGTTTTCTTTAATTTTTTTTAATTTATGAGTAAAAAAGAAAGATGGTTTATGGTTCCACAGGATTGTCGCTGAGAAAGAAGCTGATGCCGGAAAATCGGTAGTCAAAGAGAAGAGCACTCAAGATCATAACAATGAGTATGTAACTTTCTTCTGAAATAATTAATCATCAAGAAACAAACTTTATTTCAATTTTCTTTCAGTTTTCTTTAACTCATGAGTAAAAGAGAGATGTTTTATGGTTCCACAGGACTGTCGCTGAGAAAGAAGCCGATGCCGGAAAAGCGGTAATCGAAGAGAAGAACACTCAAGATCATAACAATGAGTATGTAACTTTCTTTTGAATTTTTTTTTATCAAGAAACAAACTTTATTTCAAATTTCTTTCAGTTGTTCTTAAATTTATGAGTAAAGAGAAAGATGGTTTATGGTTCCACAGGATTGTCGCTGATGCCGGAAAATCTGAAGTCGAAGATAAGAGCACTCAAAACCCTAAGAACTTTCATAGGGATCCCTCTGCTAAGAAAGAAGCTGACCAAGAAAGTGACGACTCCTACTATGCTTTTATTGATGTAAATGATTTTATTGATGATGAGGTGCTAGAAATAGAGAGGTATGTCAATTTGATTCTTTTTTTTTTTTCATTTTTAATTGTTGCTGATTTCTAAAGTAGCCATATTTTGAAATTGCAGTTCCAATATTAATGTCGAAACAGTGCTTCGTAAGAACTTAATGCATTCGGATCTCAAACGTACGGAGGGCTTGAGGCTACTTGAGAAATACTTAAATAAACTGAAAACTCCTCTTCAGGCACCTGCTGATATAACACTAACTCATCAAAATGATAAAGAGAAGAAGGAGTGGAAGATGTCATTTGTGAAAACAAATTTAGGGTCCTATCTTAGAGAAGGTTGGTTTGAGTACGCGGCCGAACACAAGTTGGAAATTGGGGATACAGTTATTATTGAAGCAGTGAATGTTCCTGAGATCAAGTACAAAATCAGATTTGATAAGTATGCTGGTAATCCGAAGACTAAAAGGCCCAAGAAACCGAACAAGGCAAAGACAGAGGTATAGGCATTTCTGAAAATACTGATTAAGCAATTAATGGAGAGGTTTTCATAGTATAGACTTTCATCATCCATTAGCATTCATTCATTACTGCACTGTATAGTCAGCAATAATACGTCCATCCTTAGTATTAGAATTAGTACATTCATAAACAGAAGGGATGGTTTGATGTGTAGTTGGTATCTCGGTTCATTGATGTTACATAATCGCACTCAGTATATGTTTTGATAATAGTACTGCTATGCGTTTAATTCATGTCTTGTTTCAATATTTCTCTTTTTGGGTTGCATGTCTCAATTGCATCATAATTACTCAAGATACCAATGTACTATCCAAAATATTTTCTCATCTTTTTCTTTATTAAATCTCTATAGCTTCCAATACTCTAGAGGAGTATAATTGTTTTTCGCGCAATTCCTAGTCTTTTGTGCTCCTAATAAGTCACATGGGTATTGTATATATTCCCCCTCCCCCCCCCCCCCCAACAGAAAGTTTTGAAAAATTAAAACTTCATGTTTGTACTCCTTCTTGATGCTACTAGTAGCTTATTGCAGTTCTGACTATGGGAAACGATTTCCCAAAAAGAAAAAGGAAAACGTAAAAAGAGGGGAGAAAATGTGTAAACAGATGTCATGTCATGTTAAGAACTTGCGGGTTTCTATTTCTCCTCTCTATAAACTTGAAGCCTAAAACTGAGTTACTGTGTTATTGGGCTCTTTAACATGGCGTACGGACACAGTCGTGTACAAAAAAAAGACTCACACACTTGAGTCCATGAAATTGTTAGAAGCGGCGGAGCTAGGATTTGAAGTTTATGAGTTCTGAATTGTTCATCGAAGCCATAGTTCGTCTTAGTTACTGGGTTTGAGCAAAATCTACTGGATTTATCCGAACCCGTAGCTAATGCTCTCCCTCTCCCTCCGTCCCTGATGGTAAGTCCAAAACTGGGATGGTAATGTGAATTGATAACTAGGCTAGGACATAGATAATTTTACTTTGGGAAGTAATTAACCAAATTGGATACACTGTTGCTTGCTTAAAAGCAGAAGCTTATTGGTTCAGCTGATTGCTACTTCAAAACACAGAATTTGGAAGGGCTATTCTCATTCAGAATGCACATACAAGATAAAGATGTTTGGATATGGTATTGCCTATTGCCAATCAATAATTTGTAGGAGCAAAGATAAGGCCTAATAGCCTTATTACCAGACCCATCCATTATACCGCTTTCCCTCACTCGTGTTTCTGATCTGACCATTATGTAATATGTACTACTACTATGGTTTCTCCTTTCACTTTTCACCCATTAAATAGAATATAAGTAAAAGTTGTTGATTTATCTTGTTTCTTAACCTTGAGCTTCCTTATGAATGCCCATGTTTAATTTTACACTGTCGTAAGAAGGT